TTTTTTCAGCTTTCGTTTCCTTTTCCTACGAGGGTCTTGCCCCACTCGTCACCACTTGCACAAAAGACAAAACATATGGCGACGTATGGTTCCATATTCTAGCGGAAGATTCATTCCTCTTTTTCTTTTGTTTCCTTTTTCTTTTGTTTTTTTTTTCCAGCTTTCGTTTCCTTGACCCCCGCTGGGCCCCGGGCCCGGGGGTCGACAACCCTCCCCACAAGGCTTTGCGACCATGACCTTTTTCAAATCATTGTCTGTATCGTGCAACACTATGGACATGGAGTCACACCCTGTCAAGGGAAGGTTTCCAACTTGGGTGCAGGATGATGCCGCTTCGCTATAACGGCGCCAACGCCATAGAAGAACTCTCACACCCTCCCACCTGAACACGTTCCTCAGGACCTTTTCCTCGCCTTTCAACGTGCTGAATATGATTAGCGCCCAATGTGTCCCGCACAACACCGTCATCATTTGGCGGAGCTCATGAAAGCTTTGCTCATTCCATGCGCCGAGATTCTTCAACGGAGCCAAGTCCAACACTGCAAGGTGACAACTCAACTTTCCTCACAGCACGAGTCAAATCTTCTGGCGGGTGCAGTGCGTCCATAGGTGTGGTGCATACAGGAAGATACGTCGTGTGATCTTTGCGGTTGTCCCACATTATGTGTTGAGCATTTGAGCTGATCCGCCACACTCATCCCTCAAAATGGTCGACTGTGCTAATATTTTCATACAGAAAAGGTTTGAGGAAGTACGAACGCTCCATATATATTGCAGTCATCACCTTGTGCCCCCCAACATTCCCTTTTCCTAGTTTTGCCTCATCCACGTCGCCCAATCGTTTTGGAACATTGATTGTCTTATCTGCTGGAATGTTCAACTTGGTTACTTCACATTTCTCCCTTGTCAACCCTCATGGTGCAAACCACCTCATTATGGTATCGTATCCAATCAAGAACTTGTCATTTCACTCCTCCTTCGACCTCTGCTCGATCTTGAACATGACATAGTTAAACATGTGCGCCATATATCTTTCCCTTCTCACCTCCACGTACAAGTCTTGCTTGTTCATCAATTTTTTTAAGAATGCCCTTTCGATCGTGACGACAACGTGTCCCGTAAGTATTTTCTCGAAGACCATCTCCTTCTCCCTTGACGTGAAATCGCCGACCACCTTCCATGCGCTTGTTGGGGGATCATTGATGCAAACATAGAAACCGGATGAGTTTTTGTTGGAGTGGACGTAGTGCACCAACACTTTTTTGCCTTTCACGGTCTTCGTAGCAGAGCCCGGTCCTGCCGCCTCGCCTGCTTTCCCTTCCTGATCCACTGGTCTGACGCGGTCCTGCCCAGGTAGTTCCCCTTTCTCCTATTTGTCAAAGAACTTCTGAACCAGATTCAACACCACCTTACTGCTCGCTGCGAGACACATGTAGGGCCTTAATAGGTTTGACCAATTCCTCACAAATCTTTTCGCCAACTACTGGTTCCAGAGCGTGGCGTCCGGAGTTATCCGTATAGCTTTCCGTACGAACTCCTGATATTGGTTACGCTGTGCAGTTCTTTCATCCACCGTCTTCGCCTGATGCCAATCACCTTTTACCTCTTTCATATTCTGTCATAGTCCTCTTATAGCAGTCACAACCATTCGAAACGACGTTGGGATAGCACGTGTCTCCCTGCTGTTGTCAAACTTGGAGATGTATGCATACCCCTCCAAATGGTCGTCGTCAAAATACAGAACCTGCGCCTTCCAAGAATGCACGCCCCAAATTTGGGCAGCATACGATCCAACAACGACCAACCTCTTTGCTGCCTCCGCTGTATATTGGCCGACCACGGTGTACCAATGGTAGAAGGCAACCTTGTCATCATCCCACTCCTCCGGCTTCACACGCTCCCACTTGTTCCGACCTTCCTTCTTCATTTGTACGACCAGAGCAAGAATCCACGTATTTTTGTCCCATTTGTCCAGTGTTCCATTGTGTCCCTGATAGAGTTGACCAACATCTCGTTCAACGGCATGTGGTTGTATTAAACACCTTCTGATGGGTTGGGCAGTATGTTGACGACGTTGATAAAAAATTGGGTAGGCCGATCTATCGCATTTTCGCCCGCGTCCTATTCGAGGAAAAAACATTTTGTGGTGTCGATAGTATCGTTTGTCAACTCTCCTGGATTCGATGCTGTATGTTGTAGGTCAACCCCGTCCCCAGAGTCTGCCACTTCCTTTGACTCCTCAGCCTTCGCTTTCTTTTTCGGTCTCTGGGAAGATCGAGGGCGCTCACGCTTTTCCTTGGCTGGTTAAGCGGATTGAGCCTCTAAGGATTTCTTGTAAGCCTCCTTTGAGGCTTGCAGAGTGATGAGCTTAGCTTGTCTCCGCTTCTCTTCCTCTGTTCTCTCAACTTTCATTTTCCTCTTGCACATGCATACAGACCTCTGTGTAACATGCAACACACCGTCTTCTTCGGACGGGTCGTGATGACTTGTGGCCCGATAATACTCTTCCCGCCTTTTCTGTGAACCATTACTCCCGCCGTCGTTGTCATTCACCCCACTTTCATCTCCTTCGCTTCCGCCTTCGTAGTTGTCTTCCTGTTCTTCGACATCCTCGCCACTTGCATCCTCATCCTCTTCTTCTTCAGTCTCATCACCTTCATGACCACCATCCTCTTTGCCTTCACCACCATCACCTTGGGCCCAACCATCCTCTAAGCTTTCCTCTTCATCTTCTGCACCGTCACAAAACCGAAGTTCGTCATCGTCGCCTTTTGTGTCGTTCGCGTCGTTGTCCTCGGCCCACTGCTCACCGCCCGACTGCCGGAAGTGCGAGTCCTCCTATGTCTTTTCGTTGCCATCCTCATGGTGAGTGGCCCCAACAGCGGGAGACAAAGAAACGCGAGCAGCACATTCAGCATGTGACTGTGCCCGTTTTGCAGACACACCCTTTTTCCTGAGTGGAGCTGTAGACTTTCTCACGCTCTTTGCATGTGTCGATGCGACCCTGCTTTTGTTCATTTGGGCGGATGTTTTCGTTTCCCCACAGCTCTTGCCTACCGCCTTTGGTGAGCAGAAAGAGACAGTAGTCCGCAAAACGGCTTGGCCCATCATCTGCAGTTTGTAACATTGCACTATGTTTGCGAAGGCTTGAAGCTCACAGTCGAACGACACGAAGGGAGTTAACAACTTCAGCATGTTGTCAATCGTCACGATACGGTTCGACGCTTTACAACAATTAAAATGTTTGAGGAACTCGAGCGGCCTTAGCATCACTATCTGCAACACATCCTTCTTCTTCGACTTGTCGAACAGTGGCATTGATGCAGCGCGCATGTCGAAACCTTGGAACTTCTCGACGTGGAGCGATATGAGCTTGTAGTTGTCAGACACCTCGTGACCATCGATGTCGAAACATGTTGTGAGATGGAATCTCATGTACTCCTTGTCAGGGATGTTCTTATCAAATGAGTAAGTCTTGATACCCCAACAGGGTAGTAACCGCCACTCTCATCCCGCAAGAAAATGACTGGCCTACAATAGGGGACTTTCATACCAAGGAGCCAATCGATTGCCCAATACTTCTCTTGGAATGTGACGGCCCTTCCGACAACCTTCGGCTTAGAGACCCCTGACGAGCAAGCAACTGTTGAACACCGCATCCCATACCGGCGTAATATACGAAACAAACATACTGTAAGGAGAAGGGGGGGGGACGGAAGGTGGCAACGACATGCTGCCAACCTTCATTAGTACTAGAGCATCTAACCAATGTTCGGACTGGGTGGTGCCTTGTCGACCATTACATAAAGCATAGTCTGCAATACGGGCACCAGACATGCACATGACATCTACAAGCGCAGACATAGGGAATGGGTAAGTTGACGAAATATCTGACCACCCCAACCTGCGTATTCCCCTAATGGGAAAGGGCCGTTAACACCAAGCGATGTCTAGTTCTCAGCACCAGCACAGGAAAAACACAATGGCAACAGGTAAACAGGAAATCACTTGCTGCCACCCCAACATCCCTACCAGCCTAACGGGAAAGGACTGTTCCAATCACGCCATGCCCAGACCTCAGGGCACGTACCTAACCAAATCAACCTCCCCAACAATCGATGGCCAGTCCTCAACACAAGGAGAGGAAAGGGTCGCTCACAACGTGCGACATTCGTGACCCCAGACCCTTTTGAGGGTGTGATGCTTTGGGAACGTCGGACCATCCATCGAAAGGTCTGGCGTCCTAAGGATGCCGAACCATCAGATGCTCCGGCGTCGTCAAGGCGTCGGAGCATTGAAGGGTCTGGCGCCTCAACGACGCGGGATAATCAGATCGCTGAAGGGCGTGGCGCCCTCGAGCCTCCGGATCATCGGATGGCACGACCATCAGATTCTCTGACGTCGTCAAGGCGCCTGACCATTGGAGGGTCTGGCGCCTTGAGGATGCTAGAGCATCGAGGGTCTGGCGCCTTGAGGATGACGGACCATCAGGGGGTTTGGCGCCTTGAGGAAGCCGGACCATCAGATGGCCTGGCGTCCTCGGAACCGCCAGACCTTCCGGTGGTCCGGCGTCCTCGAGCCGCCGGACCATCGGATGGAACGACCATCAGACGGTCCCCGTCGTCAAGGCGTCGGACCATCGGAGGGTCTGGAGCCTTGAGGATGTCGGACCATCGGAAGGTCTGGGGCCTTAACGATGTCGGACCGTCGGAGGGTTTGGTGCCTCGACGAGGGCGGACCCTCTTACCGGACCGTCCGATGGTCTGGCGGCCTCGAGCCGCTGGACCATCGGATGGCACAACCGCCGGATGGTGCGGCGTTGTCGAGGCGCCGGTGCATTGGAGGTTCTGCCGCTTTGACGATGCCGGACCATTGGAGGGTCTGGCGCCTTCACGACGTCGGACCATCGGAGGGTTTGGTGCCTCGACGACGCCGGACCATTTAACCGGACCATCGGCGTCGTTGATGCGCCGGACCATCGGATGATACAACCATGAGATGGTCCAGCATCGTCGAGGCGCCAAAACATCGAACTGTCCAGCGTCGTTAAGGCGCCAGACCATCTGACGGTCCGGCGTCGTCAAGGCGCTAGAGCCTCCAATGCTCCGGCGCCTCGACAACGCCACACCATTTGACGGTTGTGCCATCCGATGGTCCTTCGCCTCGAGGACGTTGGTCCATCAGACGGTCCGACCAGATTGGTTCGACATGGTCGAGGCGGCGGAGCATTGGAAGGTCTGGCGCCTTAACGATGCCGGACCATCGGAGGGTCTGGCGCCTCGACAATGCCCGACCATCGGAGGGTCTGGTGCCTTGACGACGCCGGACCATATGACAGGACTATCAACGTCATCCATGTGCCGGAGCACTGGATGGCACAACCATGAGATGGTCAGGCATCGTCGAGGAGCCAGACCATCGGATGGTCCGGCATCGTTAAGGCGCCAGACCCTCCGATGGTCTGACGTCGTTAAGGCGCCATAACCTCCAATGCTCCGGCGCCTCTATAACACTGCACCATCTGACGGTTGTGCCATCCGATGGTCCGGCGGATCGAGGACGCCGGACCATCGAACGGTCCAGCCAGATTGCTCCGGCGTCGTCGAGGCGCCAAAGCGTTGGAGGGTCCAACGGATGGTACAATCATCAGATGGTCCGACGTCCTCGAGGCGCCAGGCCATCGGATGGTCCAACGTCGTTAAGGCGCCAGACCCTCCCATGGTCCGGTGTCGTCAAGGCGCTAGAACCTCCAATGCTCTGGCGCCTTGACAAGGTCGCACCATCTAACGGTTGTGCCATCCGATGGTCCGACCAGATTGGTTCGGTGTCGTCGAGGCACCGGAGCATTGGAGGGTCTGGCGCCTTAACGACACCGGACCATCGAAGGGTCTGGCGCCTCGACGATGATGGACCATATGACCGGATGATCCATGTCGTCTATGCGCCGGACCATCTGATGGCACAACCATCAGATGGTCCAGCGTCGTCGAGGCGCCAGACCATCGGCTGGTCGGGTGCCGTTAAGGCGCCAGACCCTCCGATGGTCTGGCGTCGTCAAGGCGCCAGAACCTCGAATGCTCCGGTGCCTTGACAACGCCACATCGTTCGATGGTTGTGCCATCCGATGGTCCAGCGGCTCGAGGGCGCCGGACCATCGGATGGTCCGACCAGATTAGTCCGGCGTCGTCGAGGCGTTGGAGCATTGGAGGGTCTGGCGCCTTGAGGACGCCGGACCATCAGAGGGTCTGACGCCTTAATGATGCGAGACCCTCAAAGGGTCTGGCGCCTTGAGGAGGCCAGACCATCTGACCGGACCATCGGTGTCCTCGAGCAGCTGGACCGTCGAATGGCATAGCCATCAGATGGTCCAGCGTCCTCGTATTGGAGGTTCGGGTAAACATACCCTTCCATGGTCATGCCATCCGATGGTCCGGCGGCTCGAGGACGCCGGACCATCTGAGGGTGTGGAGCCTTGAGGACGTTGGACCATCCGATGGTCCGACGTCATCGAGCCACCGGACCATCCGATTGTCTAACGTCCTCGCGCCGACCGACCCTCCGACTGTCCTGCCATCTTATGGTCTGGCGGCTCGAGGAACGCCGGACCATCGAATGGTCCGGCGGCCCGTGGACGCCAGTCCATCGGAGGGTATGACACCCTTAGGACGTCGGACCACCAGATCCTCCGGCGTCGTCGAGGCGCCGGACCATTGGAGGACTCAACTGGAACTAGAATGGGCTGCCGCACAAACACAAACAAACGAAAACAACTTGCCAATCATACCTTTGGATGCCATCTCGAATAAAACTTGAGGGCGGGCTCAACCCTGATAGGGTGCTGGCTGGTTGTGCTGAACTGTCGTGGTGGTGGTCTGAAACGGATATGGAGGTCCGCCAGTTCGTTGGGCAATGTTGTGACATAAGTGGGGTGTCGTTGCACAATAGCCTTACTAAACGCTTCCGCATCGTCAACGGTCCACCTTCCACACTGGCAACCAACGAGCAATGCACCGTGTCACGGATCCAAGTTTCGATGGAGGTATTTTACCGGCTCTCTCGAAAAAATAAAAAGTGGGGGGAGAATCCCGATTTCGCCCCCACCTTTGACAATGCCAAAAGGAACCAATCAATGAAGTGTCAATCACGAACCGAAGTGCCAATCAAGGATCGAGCTAGCATTCAATGTGTTTCGCCGGTTTTCTCGAAAACAAAAGCACGAAAAATAAAGGTTGGGATAGAAAGGCGATCCTCCGCCCAACTCTCACAATGCCGAAGGGAACCAATCAGCGAAGTGTCAGTCAAGGATCGAACTGCCAATCAAGGATCGAACTGCCATTCAATGTGTTTCACCGGTTTTCTCGAAACAGAAAAGGTAGGAGGAGAATCGCAATTCTCGCCCCACCTTTCACAATGCCAAAAGAGACTCAATCAACGAAGTGCCAATCAAGGGTCAAACTGCCATTCAATGTGGTTCGCCCGTTTTCTCAAAACAAAAAAGGTGGGGGGAGAATCACGATTCTCCCCCCATCTTTCACACTACCAAAGAGACTCAATCAACAAAGTGTCAATCAAGGATCGAACTGCCATTAAATGTGTTTTGCTCGTTTTCTCGAAACAAAAAAGATGGGGCGATTTTTCCCTCACCTTTCACAATGCCGAAGGGAACCAGTCAGCGAAGTCCCAATCAAGGATCGAACTGCCAATTAAGAATCGAACTGCCATACAATTTATTTCGCCGACTTTCTCATAAAAAAAAAGGTGGGGTGAATCCCCCCACCTTTCACAATGCCAAAGGGACTCAATCAACGAAATGCCAATCACGGATCAAGCTGCCAATCAAGGGTCGAACTGCGAATTAAGGATCAAACTACCAATCAAGGATCGAACTGCCATTCAATGTATCTCACCCATTTTCTTGAAACGAAAAATGTGGGGGGAGAATCGAGATTCTCTCCCACCTTCCACAATCCCGAAGGAAACCAGTCAGCGAATTGTCAATCAAGGATCCAACTGCCGATCAAGATTCGAACTACCATTCAATGCGTTTCGCAAACTTTCTCGAAAAAAAAAAGTGGGGGAAAAATCGCGATTCTCCCCATACCTTCCACAATGCCGAAGGGAACCAATCAGCGGAATGCCAATCAAGGATCAAACTGCCGATCAAGAATCGAACTGCCATTCAATGTGTTTCGCCAACTTTCTTGAAAAAAAAGAAAGGTGTGGGAAAATTTGGTGTCGGTGCGAATACCCTGACAAGGGTATCCGCCCTGTGTTCTGCAAGTGACAGAAAGTTCAGGTAATTTGGACTTGTCGGGTAACCGCGCAGTTTGTTGCGATCGTCTAGTGTAGGTTGAGGGTCGCTTCGAATAGGAAGAGTGAGTGAGCGCGCAGTTTTAAGGCGCGCGTGTGATTTTGTTCCCTTGTGTTGATCGGGGAGTCGATGTAATTGACCGACTGAGTCTTATTTTTCTCTGGTTAAACTAGGGAATTTTTGGAAGATCCGCCTTTTTGCCCGGCGCGTCTAGATGGCGGTAGGCTTGTCGCATAGGATGGCGTGTGTAGTGACAATGGTACAGTCGGGGCCCGCCGGCGTGGACGCTTAGTGGCCGTAGGTGCAAATGCAGGCTGAGGAACAGCCGGGGCATTTCTTGGCCCTGAGCACTGCGCAGTGCCACTTCATATAGGATTTTGAGCGTATTGGTGTCAGGCTTGGGCTTAGCCCTATAGGTTATGACACTGGACTATTGCTGCGAAGGTACGGGGATCGAGGCCAGCGGACGGCAGCATAGGAGCGTTGGAGCATCGAAGGGCTGAGGGGTTGAGGGTCCCTCGGGACTATCCCCCTTAGTTTTGTGGGGGAAGCAGAACGCAGGCCCGCTTGTCTCAAGCCTTTTTTTTTTTTTTTTCCCTTGATTTGACCGGTGCCAGTTCCAAGCCAGGCCAAGAAACCCAATGAGTATGACTGGACCGTGTACACAGCAGGAGGTACCGATCAGCCGCTGGAAGGTCGTAAGGCGCTGTCCCGGTTAAAGGTCCTTCGGGACAACCGTTAAAATTGGGACGATACAGAGAAGATTGGCCTCGTCCGGCGGGAGACTAGCGGTTGGCTCCTGTCGAGGTCGTCCATCGGGCTTGACAGAGACCACTGGGGCTTGAGCAACGACAAGCCGCAGAAGTATAAATCAAGAAGCAGCGCGCAACTATTCATCTGTTCCTGCCTAAGCCATGCAGAGACGCTGTGACATCGGTCTATGTAGCGGTGGCTTGCAGAACCCGGCGGTTGTAGTAGGCGGGGCGGAAGGTTGACTAAGCTACGTACTAGCTGGCGGGGTCGGAGACTGATCACCGTGGCCACACTGAATGCGGACGGGCGCAAGTAGTGGAGCGATGCGGTAGTACGACCGGAAGCGTTGAGGCGGTGGAGGAGACTAGCCGCCCCAGGCAGATAGCGTGTAGACTGCAAAGGAAGAGGAACGAACCTGGGCGCTGAATCGCGTCGGGTGCATTCAACACCGGAGAGATAGGGGTTTTCGCACGGTGCGAGCACAGTGATGAAGTTAATTGCGGTGTTAGATTAGTGGAACAGAAGGTTAGAGAGAAAATCGGTGCGCGGAAGTATCGAGAGAGATGACTATGGCGGGGCGAGATTTGTCTAGTCTACCTGACTCTGGACGGAATCAAGTGGACTAGGATATTAAACAAAAGTTTGTGGGTAGGGCTAATCTGATAGTGAAGAAAAAGTTAGGAGAAAGTTAGTAGAATAAGTGTTAATCGAGGAAAGTGGTGCGTTGGAGCTATGGCGGACAGAGGAAGGGAGAGGAGGAAACGGGTGAGCCCACTTCTGAACAAAATCAGGCAAGAGAAAGCTCGTAGTAGGGGTTTTGGGGGCGGGCGACCTCAAATCCGTGGTTAGGAGTTAGATGAAGTAGTGATGCGCCTAGCTATGGTGAAGGGAGCTAATGAGGTGCCAATGCATCCAGTCGCGTTCAGCGATTGATTCATTCTGAATCTTCTTATCTAATCGATTGAGG